CAGCATCAGAGGAGCTGTTCTCGTTCGATCGCAGTTGCACAGAAATCCTGTTGCAATAACTGCTTCAAAGATATCATCCTTGAACTTGTCTCTAGCAGTAGTATCGGTGCTAGCAATAGCAGCATACACTTTCGTTTTGACTGCAAAATTTCGGAACCAGGCAACGCCATATAGATCTTGCAGGACTTCAGCCTGTCTCAAGAATTGTTCCTTGAAATGCATCAAGTTTTCGGTTGCTCCTTGTCTCATTGCAAAGAACTTTTGGTTAGCTTCCCAGAAGTCCAAGAGATCATTCAATACGTTTCAAGAGTTCGATTGGATCTTCAAGAGTAGTTGTGAAATTGGCTTCACCTTGAAGCTTGATATCCATCTCTTTCGTCACAAACTTAAGCATGATGTTCGATTTGACAGTTCGCTTGTTCGTTTTGAAGTATGCTGCTCTGTTCATATGATTGGTTAGTTTTGCAGAATAGAGAATCTTGTTTTGAGTCATCTCTGTTTCTCTTGCAACAACTTCCGTTTGATCTGGAGCATCCAACTTTGGGGCGATTGAGTCAATTGACTTTCCATCTCGAATCAATTTCAACATGTCTTCTGAACACTTCATTCCAGAAGCTTGGACATAGTCAATCAGTCTTTCGTTGGCATCTTCGTACAACGATCTTGTCTTTCCATCGTTTTCATCTTTAGTTGAAAACAAATGTTTCATCACCTTTAAACTTGAATTGTCCCTGACTTTCTGAGGAGACACACGTCCTCTTCCACCACCCGATGAAGAACTTCCGTCTACCGTCTTGCCTGATCAAGAAGTTTCCCACACCATTAAGGGCAAAAATAACGGACAACTAAGAAACGGAATCCCAATAGGAAAACATTTAAGAAGACATCCCACAACTAGTAGTTGTGGGAAATTCCCACAACTATTTTTTCCGATTCCTACAACTACAGTAGGTGTGGGAATTTTTGGCAAAAATGTGTTCCAACAACTACTTATGGGGAAATCGCGTTAAATATCGCGGGGATGAAATAAAATGAAAAGGGGGAATTCTAATTGTAGTCGGTGGAGTCGTTTCTCCGTAGATTTTGTACCGTACGGTCAGGAACACCCGGCAAATGACGAAAATCCGTACCGCGCGGGGTCGACTGTGGGAATTCTGATGTCTTTCAATTGGCGATCCCTGCCTTAAATATATTTCAGGTTTTAAACAATATCATTTTCACA